CTGTCTACTCTGGGCTTTCTGGGCCTTAAGCATCCTGCTGAGTGGAAGCCATAACCACTGCCAGGGGCCCTTTCCACCCAGGGCCTTACTGGTTGGGCGGCGCTCTGCGTGCAGTATGGAGGCCTTGCTTGTCTTGGTTCCTATACAGACTGCTAACCAGACAATCTGTTGACCAGTTCATCTCCTCTGTGAGCCCCAAGTATAGCAGAGACTGGCTGCCACCCCACATCCCCTCCCTTCCTCTGAGCAAGAGCTTCGACCCCCCTATTCCAGTCGGCACCCCGCGAGTGTTTCTGCCCAGCTGCCTCCCCAACCACCTGTCTTTCCTCCTTCCACTGTGGGGGTCTCTAAAATCAATAAAAAAAAAAACATTAAAAATACATCACTGGCTTGGTTTGCTACACTTGTGTGTGTGTATATGTGTGTTTTATCACTGAGGACAGCTCGTCCTCTTGTTTTCCTGTGTCGCTGTCTGGCCTGGAAAGAGAGGCGACAGTGACCCCACAACATGAGCTGGGGGTCCACCTCTCCCTACTCTTCTAATCTGGAGAGAAGATGATAGAAGACAGGGGTCACTGCCCCAAGGATGTGGGGACCTCACAGCAGGCCGTCTGGGCGAGCGGCTGCCTCTCCCTCCGCCTGCCTCCTTTCTCTGATGTTCTTCAATTCCTTTCTTTCCTGGAGGTGAGTGGGGAGGATGACTGGCTTAATGCTTTAATGGCCGTAACTCTATTCCAAACTTCTGTCTACTCTTGAGTCAGCTTTAGAAGTGTACACTTTTCTGAACATTTTAAATTTCATCTCAGTGTTATAACACTGGTACGAAGGTGCCCACGTCTCCACTGTAACGGCCTGCAGCGTATTTCGGCTCCACTGCGTCCTGGCTGTCCTCTTCCATTCCTAACACGGTCTGGCCGTCCTTCTATCGTCATTCTTGGTCGAAGCTGCCCGAGTTCTGCCGATTTCATTGTCCTGTCCAGAGACCTAACCCCGGGTGTCACTGCTCACGGGGCACCTTTGTTTCTTCCTTCTCCTCAGCGGGGTTTGTTCTGTTGTTCTCTTTCCAGCCTAGCGCTATGTGCTTTGGTCATTGACCTACAGTCATTTTCTAGTGCCCCCGGCGATTTCTTCTGTGAGCCCTGGGGTGTAACTGGCATGCGCTATGTTGTATATGTTGAAGCATACGATTCGGTAAGTTGGACACGTGTCTCTACCCAGGAGACCATCGCCCCCCACACCTTGCTCACACCTTGTTCACCTTGTTCCATTCCTTCCTCACTGTCCCTCTTACTCTGGTCCCCACCCTGGGCAACCACCGATCTGCTCCTGTCACTGTAGACCAGTTTGCACGTTCTAGAAATTTACATACTTTTTTGGGATCTGGTTTCCTTTACTCTGAATAATTATTTTGAGATTTGTCTAGGCTGCATGTGCATCATTGTTTGTTATCATTACCATTTGCCTGAGTGGTGCTCCACTGCATGGAGAAGCATTGTTTGGCCATCCTGTACCACTGCTGCCACTTGGATTGCTTCCCGTTTTTGACATTACAAAGACAGTTGGACACATGTCATTATACGTTTGTCCAAATCCACAGAATGTGCACCACCAAGAGTGACCCTAACGTAATCTGTCAGCGAAGGTTCATCCATTGTAACCATGTGCTCTCTGGTGGGGGATGGGTCATTGGGGGAGGAGATACAGGGGGGCAGGGGGAGAGGGCATATGTGAATCCCTGGACCTTTGTCTTAATTTTGTTATGAATCTAAAGAAATGGGTAAGATGGTAGTTTTCCATTGTGTGTTTTACCACAATTATAATAAGTCAGTGATGCCACCAATAATTACACAGAATATATAGCAGATCACAAGATAATCGGCACACTAACATAGAAAGTATAAAGTTGTAGGAATTAATCTGTTAAAAACTGCCTAACATTTTTGTGAAAAACTATAAATGCAAAGGAAATATTTTAAATATGGAGAGAGAGATAAAATATTCATGGATGGACTGATTTAACTTCATATCAATTCCTTTCAACTAAGTCCTTAAGTTCAATGCAATTCCATATGAAATCTCTGCAAGACACTGGGAGATACTTAACAAGCTGACTCTAAAATACGTATAGAAGAACAAAGTTTCATAAAAGGCTACCAAAAGTTTGAAAAAAAAATGAGTAAAGAATGACAGTTTTAGCCAACCAGATCTTTAAACTATTAAAATGTCAGAATAATCTATATATATAAAAGACTAAGTGACCATTACAACTGGTCCACCAAATGACCGGTAGACAGTCGCTATGATGTGCACTGACCGCCAGGAGGCAGACACTCAATGCAGGAGCTGCCCCCGGTGGTCAGTGTGCTTCCAAAAGCCAACCTCTTGCAGTCCCTCCACCCTGGCCAGCCCCGATCGGCCTAATTTGGACTGGGCGAGATGACCCAAATCGGCCCCTTTAATACAGTTCCTCATGTTGTGGTGACCCCCAACCATAAAATTATTTTTGTTGCTACTTCATAATTGTAATTTTGCTACTGTAAACAATATGTAATTATATGTGTGTTTTCCGATGGTCTTAGGCAACCCCTGTGAAAGGGTTGTTTGACCCCCAAAGCGGTCACGACCCCACAGGTTGAGAATCGCTGATCTAGAGTCTAGAAGTAGACCCATCCTTGTGAGGGAGCTCAGTATATAACAGGTGTCTTCACAAATCAGGGAGAAAATATAGGTTATTTAATAGAAGGGAGTGGAAAAACTGACCCCCTGTATGAAAATAAAGCTAAATTACAATACAAAAGTGTTAAAGGCCTAAATGTGAAAGTGAAATGATAAAGGTCTTAGAAAGAAGGACAGCAGAATATTTTTATGCCCATAATTTGAGGAGGGATTTCTTAAATAAGATCCTAAACGTACAAATTATAGGGTGACAAATTAATGGATAAGGTTATATCAAAATTTGGGGTTTCTATTCCAAAAAGGATGGCACAACATGAAGAGGGACTTGGCCGTGGAGGAGGCACTGAATCGTCTCACACTATTAAGGGTTATAAACTACAGAAGGAACTTTTGCGAATCTAGATGAAGAGGTCATGAGGTCCGAAAGACAATGGCCAGGATATACACAGGGAATTCACAGGAGCAAGACGGGGGGCTGAGGAGATGCTCAACACGCCTAGAGAGAAGAGAAACAGACCGAAACCCTGAGACAGCATCAGGAGTGGGGAGCTAACCTTGGCACGGCTGGTGTGCATGCAGCTGGAGGGCCGCCGGTACGCCCGATCGTGCTGTGTGAGGAGCCCTGGGTACCATGGCCTGTATCAAGCTGCTTACGGGGTCTCAAGGCTGCTTGGAGAGCTCAAGGAAATCCATGTGCCCACCACGAGGGGAAGGACATACATGGCAACGGCTACAATGCAGGAGGCAACGGGCTGGACATGAGAGCATCAGGGAGAGTCCCCCAAACACGGGGTGAATGAAAATACGGGGTACAGAATGGGATTTGAAGCACAATGCCAAATCTGTAAACTAACAACATACACCTATTTTTCAAGGACACGGACACACACACTCACACACAGAAAAGGTATGGACAGCGAATTCAAAGGGCATGTGATTAGTAAACACATCATGTGGGCACCGTGCTGGGTGGGAATGGGCCACGGTGTATGATTAATTTAGCTCCGCGTCCCCTAGGTTCCCTGACATGACCACTAGAGAAAGTCAAGAGCAAGCTTACAAACAACGGGCAAGATGTGCGCGCACACGGTCGGCCCTGACAGCTGTGGGAGGCAGTCAGGACCCACACGCATGGGCTGTGGAGCGCTCTGGGGGAGGGGTTTTACTTTACATGCTTTTCTACCACGGAACTTTGTGCCATCTGCCCACGTACCTTTTTTCAAATAAACATTTGTTAAAAGATACAGAACTATGAGAACTGAGACCAGCATCTGAAGAAATGGGAATCTGCTTGGGACGCAGGCTCCTGAAAGAATAACACTTCTCAGGGGAAGGCAAACTCGTGGTGTCTGCAGCACCCAGCCTCCCCTCCCCATGCGGGGGTGCTCTCGGTGCTCAGAGCACAATGCCTGTGAGGGTGTCACATTTTTTTTAAAATGTAAATACCAATCACCCCAAATACTAACTGAATAGAAAGTATGACCATTAAAGTGCATGTCTGATGAATGAGGAACCTCTTTGCTTTCTCTGGGAGCAAATCATTTTATAAGGTCACAGTGAAACACATCAGTTCACCCCAGAAGCCCACATCTATAATAATCTATAATAAGAAAAGCATAAAATGCTAATTAGACTGGACAGCCGAATGTCCTTCCGGACAAAGCTGTGGCGGCTGCGAGGGCCGAGGGCAGTCAGGGTAGGCAGCAGTGGTGGGGTAATGGGGGCAGCACCTTCCCCTGATTGCCCAGTCACCTCCTGCAGAGGGGAGTGGGCCTAAGCTGTTAGTAGGACATCCCCTGAGGGCTCCCAAACTGTAAGTGGGGGCAGGCCGGGTTGAGGGACACCCCCCTCCCAGTGCATGAATTTTCCTGCACCGGGCCTCTAATATAACAATAATAATAAAGGGCAAGATGCTTGTTTTGATGAATGGCAGTGGCAGCCTGGAGCCTCCTGGGTAAAGGCCTACCTTCACTCCCTCAAAGGGTCCTGGAGCCCCCCTAGAGCCTTTATCCTTCAAAGAATGTGGGGAACATTGAAGTGGGGAGTGGGAACAAAACCAAACCATTTGAAAGTAGGTAACTGGCATAGGAGGAGGGTCAGGGGCCCGCAAGGGCACAGTTGGGGGTACCCAGGAACTGTAAAGGATGAGTCTATTGCAGTGGGGAGGGTCAGGTGCCCCCAGGGGCATAGTGGGGGGTACCCAGGAACTGTAAAGGATGAGTCTAATGCAGTGGGGAGGGTCAGGTGCCTACAGAGGCACAGTGGGGGGGTACCCAGGAACCAGCACGAGTGAGTCTGGTGCAGTGGGTGCTCCATGGCCTTACCGTGCCATCTTGTCGCTGCAGGACATGGTGAGCAGCCTTTCCCCCTGCAGCACCCCGTCCCACGTCTGGATGCTCGCATTTGAGCGCACGGGGATCGTCCCCTCACCAGATTCTATTTTCGTCCGCAGCTGTCCCCGGGCTTTGCGATTCGGGTGCCTGTCTGCTGGTTCTAAGAGAGAAATGGGAGAAGGAAGCCACCGGTAGGAAATCATCTGCTTCACTCACCGAGAAGCACATCTAACTACACCTCACACATTTATCACACAGTCCGCCTGTATGTGCCTGTGGTTGTTCTGTATCTATAGGACATACGTACATTATAAGTATATAAAATTGGACAGGAAGGATATAATATGAACCAAATTCACAGAAGTGGCCTTCTCAGGGGTTGGGGAAGACAAGGGCTTCCATTTTAACCAAAGTGATTGACTTCCATTGTTAAAAAGGAACTGAAGCAAATAGGACAAAATGCTAACATTTGCTCCTTCTAGGTGTTGGATATTTGGGTGTTTGTTATATTTCCCCCCACATTTAAAAAATTTCATAAGGAAACCCATAGGGATGCTGAAATAAGCTCACAGGAAGCACGCACAGACAGTGACTACCTCTGGGCCATATGAAAACGGGTAATTTAAATTTTCTTTCTTATTTAAAAAATATTTGAATTGATTTGTGTTGCCTTTATAATCAAGAAAAACAATGCAATCAAATGTTCTATTTGGAACAAATAATGTTTAAGCTTCGGGGGAGACAGGTGGATACAAATCCGTGGAAAACACGTGCAGAGGAGGGTGGGGACATGTGATAGAAGCAGGGTCTCCCTTTTCATCCGTCTGACCTGCTGCTGGGGTTTCAGCCAATAATCACACATTTAAGTTCCAGTTCATCAGAAACAGGGAAGAGGATGGACGTCTCTGACTTAGAGACAGACAAGGTGTCCCAAAGATTGTGACAACCTGTATATTATCCAAATTTAAGTGCTGACATCAATTTTGATCTGGTATCCTCATTCTATTCCAATCCCATAGTTTATTAGAGTCAACATTTTCATTCATTAAAATATCCTAATTAATTATTCATGGAGAAGTACTAGTAAAACCTGCTTTTATTTAGCCCTCAGACCCACGTTTAAGGCTGACATGGAAAGAAGAAGGATATTAATATAAGTTTGTTATTTTGTTACCACAGGCCTCACATTGAGAAACTGCTGGCTGTCCAGACGCCGGGCCATACCTTCCAGGATCGGTTCGTGCGGTGAGAAGATCCTGGCGTCCCCGCAGGGCGAGGTGCTGATGTACAGGTGGAACTGGACCGTGTCCTTCAGCCGGAAGCCTCCCCGCTCAGACTTCTGGAAGATGGACTTCTTCTGATCCTCTTTGCTGCGGAAAGGAAGCAAGTTGCAGAGTGAGTGCTCCAGCTGCGTGCAGACACCATCTGGTCTGTCCCAGCTCCCAGAGACTTTCAAAGGCCCGCAGTTCTGACGGGGTGAAGACAAGCTGGAATCGGAGTGTTCCTTTTCTCTGTTTATGATCATTCACACAGTTCCTGTCACTCAGCAATGGACAGGGCATCAAAATGGGAGCATTTCCCCTTGCCTTCTCATTTCTGATCCCAAACAGAACGACTATGTGTAGAGATGTCTTTACAGAGAAAAGCAGTTTGGAGACGTGATGGGCTGGTGTGAGGCACAGTGATTGGAATAAAAATGCCCGTGTTTACCGGTCGTGGAGTCTACTGAGGTCAGCCTGCAGGAAACAAAGGCCCAGGGTCTGAGCACAGCCCTGAAATCCACGATACTATTAAGCATGTGTGCATACGTGTGTGAACATATGTACGCATGTATACGCATGTGTGCTATAAGTTAGCCAACTCTATTTGTAGCTTGAGCATCATGGGCAGATGGGATCCAACCTCACTATTACTGACAAAGTTGCTGTTTTGAGAAGCGAGTGAAAGTTTTGCAGTGTTTTCTGACGGGGGAGGGGAGAAGGCAGTGTTTTTAAAGCAGCTTCCTTTCCTTACTTACTTACTAGACTTACTTTAGGTACAGCTCAAGCTGTGTGTAAAGGAACCTGAGCAAGGACCGCCGAGATATGATCTCTGCGTGGCAGTCATTCAGAGCGAGGCCACGGTCGCTCATGTACTCGCCGTTAATACACTTCGTTCCCGTGGAAACACATATCACCTGGGCATCTTTCACATCTGTGCCTGGAAAACAAGAGAGACGCTCCTCTGAGTCACAGTCACGTGCCCACCTGCGCCCCAGGGCCTGCATGCGTCCGCGGTGACGGAACCTGGCAGAGACCTCAGTGCACACTCACCCCCCATGCCTACCCCCGCCGGCCGCAGCCTCCCAGAGGACGAGCTCTGAGCTCCCCCTGGGAGCCAGCCACCCTCGTCTTCAGTGTGAAGGTTCTGAGCTTGAGGAAGTTTCTCCTCGGGAATGTAAGTCTTTCTTGAACAGTCCCATGGACACAGGGAGGAAGCACTATGTGAAGGCAGGTAGGTGGTCTGGTTATTAATCTTAAGATTGATATGAAAGCACTAAAGTGGCGACGAGGGAGGGACAAGAAGGAAAACAAGTCGTTCACAGTGTGCTGGTCAGGAGTCCCTGTCACCCCCTCATGCTGGACTGCAGCCCTCAGCACCGGGCACCTCCAGGGGAGCGGCCACTCTGCGGTAAATCTGTCACAGACCACGCGCCAGATGTGCTGCAAAGGCCTGACGCCACCAGCGATAAACTGCACCACCAGCACCAGCTGCAGACGGTGCCACCCAGAGGCGGGCACTGTGCTGGGTCTACTAGGGAAGGTTTTCTCATCTCATCCCCACATCCTTAAAGTGCATGGCACCACTGCCTCTGTTTTACAGACCAGGAAACTGAGGCGCAGAGGGGCCAAAAACCTGCCCAAGGTCATTCAACGAGTGCAGGCCATCTGAGGTCAGAGCCAGGCATGGAGGTCTTCTGAGGTCAGAGCCAGGCATGGAGGCCTTCTGAGGTCAGAGCCAGGTACCTGTGCTGGCAGTCCTGCCTGCAGGTGTAAACTGTGGCTCTGAGCAGTGGAATTCACACGGAGGGGCAAATGCTGCCCTGCAGGCATTGCCTCTCCTCAGCAGTGAGAAGAGCTAGATGACAACCAGCCACACACCCCTGAGCCTGCTCAGGGGGCTGCTGCGTCAGCAGCTCACCTTTCAGTTACGTAAAATAGTACGAGCACAGAGAGAAGAGCAGGAAAACACAGGCACAAGACATCAGAGAAAACCTGAAACCCACGCTAAGATTCAGGGATCTTCACCCACCCTCAGACACACGCTCAGCTGTGCCAAAGCACACATGTGGCGGGGGGAGCTTGTGATTCGAGTCGTCACGTTCTGCAGGCGAGGGGGGATCAAGGCTAGGATTACAGAACCGTGTCCTCTCCCCAGTCGGACGGAGAACTGCCTGGGAGAGGAGGACAGCACAGCCACCCTCATAGAGCTGGGGCTTCTCCTGGCTGGCGGTGACAGATGCGCCATCCCCGCCCTCCTCCCTGGCCTCCGGGCCTGCCTCCAGCACAGGCCGGGATGCTGTCAGCAGAGGGCGCAGCACGTCCTGCCCGCCCCAGCGCTGGACAGGGCACTGGCCAGAGTGTGGCTTCCTGCTCCTAGGAGTCACCACGGAGATGCATCCCCGGTGTGGGGAGAAGACCTGGGGGAGGGTTCCTTCTGGACAAATTTAATAGGGTTCCTCCTGCCTTCCGAACTGAGCCTTCCCCCAGATTTTCACCTCTGGCTGGAGCTTCCTCTCTCCCCCACAAGCCACACAGAAACCTCCCTGGCAGCATGAACACTAACGGGTAAATCAGACACGCCCTACTTTCCCATGAAGCAGGAATTAATGTCTCCTGCAGTTTCCTGAGCAGACAGACCGCTCTCACACGGTCGTGGGGATCCAACCGTAACAGGCGCTTCTCCACATGAAAACAATTAGGTTGAAAGGATGAACATTTGGGAAAAATATGTAAGTACAGTTCCCACATTTGCAGATGACAGACATTCTGAGGAAGAAGGAAAACACGATTTTCCTGTCAGAGATTTTTATAGAGCAAGATGTTTACCTGTTGTCATGACAATTCCAGCAAGAACCTTCCTGCGTGCGTGGGGGGAGGTGAAGTTGTCCGTCAGGTCACCGAACTTATCCAGAACCAGGCGGGCCACGGCGTCGGCTAACACCTGGGGACCACAGCAGGGGGTTAGGCACCAGCACCTGCCCCCCGAAAGCCAGGGTGATGGCTCAGATGCTTTCTTCTCTGGAGAATCCCACACTAAGTCTGGCAAACAAGTGTGTGCGTGTGCACATGTGTGTGCGTGTTTCCTCCAAAACACACGTCCGAGGAGCATGCAAGGCCATGGCTGGAATCTTTCGACAGGGCCTAGAGGGCAGGGACAGCCCTGAGCCCGGCAGTGGGAGTTTGAGCTCGTGCATCCGGGGCACACCGTGCTGCCCCCCTGGTCCTCACAGCACACCAGCCCCGATGAGGACACCGAGGAGAAGAGGGCTAGAGTGCCTGCCTGGGGTCACCTGCCCCTCCCTCTGCTGCTCTGCTGCCCAGGCTCCCCAGTGTGCAGCTCGGGCAGGAGAAAGGAGCAGTTAGAAGTGATCAAATTAAAGAAGGGTGAACTTTGCACAGCACCACCCTCTTGAAGGCCCCGCCCATCAGGTACGTCTCAGTTATTGCAATACCTATCCCACCACCCTGGCTCAGTCACTCCCTCTGAATCCAGCCCTGAGCAGAGCCTGTGGGGTAGCTGTCACTCAGCTCAGATGACAGCAGAATGGACCCAGGGAAGGGTCTGGCGAGGCCTGGAACACCTCACTGCATGTGACCAGGCCCGACAGCACTGCCCTCCAGGGAGTGCTTCTTAGAAGCCAACATGTTAGATTTGGGACATGTCTTATTTTTATGGCTCATGAGTTGTCATGGATAGAGTGGACCCATAGTGTTCTGGGAAATGGTGCTAACGGGTGTGAGTGTGTGAGTGTGTGTGTAAAGAGCCACACTGGATCTACATCTCCCTAATCTCACACTTGTCTTGACAATCAAACGGCCAAATCTAATGTCCCCTTAATAAAATACTCCCAAAATGAATAGAAAAGTCACTCATCCTAAACGATGACTTATTTGGAAAAAGCATAGTTGTCAGAAAGCTTTCCTCCCATCATGGCTCCAGCAAATTCCAGCGAGCCCCCGGGGACTTGCTCAAGACCAGCCACGTGGAGGGCGGGCAGAGGTCCAGGCAGGGCTCTCGGGCCTCACCTGGCACCTCGGCAGAGGTATTGATGCTACAGATGTGAACACAGGGGAGGGAGTCGGAGCACAGACAGAAACAGATGAGCAACCACACGATGGGAGGGCACCACAGATAAAGGACAACACGTTCCAACTTCCATAGAAGGAAAACATCGTGGGAGGTTAAGGAGACCCAGGGAGAGGAGTTTCGTTTCACAGGAGGCAGGCGTACCGCACGTTTTCAGAGGCGGGCACGTCCGCGCACACTCCCTGTGCGACGCCAGCACTGCCCTCCTGGACCTTCTTCCGCCGCCGTGAAGAGGTCACTGCCTCGTTCCTTAGGGGCGATGAAGCACCCCTCCCTCTAAACGAGGGGGTGGGTATAATGACAAACTAACATGCTCCTCAACGGCAAGCCCACACCACCACGGCCCCGCGGCATGGCCTCCTGGGCGACCCTCGGGGTGCAGAGGCCGGAGGCTCGGCTGGCCGCTTTAATAAGTCACTGCTGACAGGGCGTTTCACACTCACACGCGGTTAATGTCGCCTGCTTTTTAAACTAGAGCCGCTATGAACACCACGAAGGCAAAGAATCCTAGGACCAGGGACGTCTGGCCCAAGTCCCGCATGGGTTACTCCTGGGAAACATAAGGCTTTACACCCACTCTAGAGGCACACTGGAGAGTTTCAGGGGAAAGACAGCGTAGCTCAGAAACACGGCCCGGGCTGACTGCGAAGCCACCTCCAGGTCTTCCAGGAAAACGTGGTTACCGGGGCCGCAGGGGCCTCTGGGAGACACTTCGGGGCTACTGTGAGCAGAGACTGGGAAGCAGATACAGCTGCACACCCCCAGGCCTCCCTGGCTGGAGAACACAGAAGCCCATAACCTGCTGCTCAGCACCAGCAGAACCAGCACAGGTGGTGAGGGTAGGGCTGGGATGGCCTCCCCCCCTCCCCCCCCATGGGATTCCCAGACACTCTCCCCAGAGAGGCTGATAGGCCCCACTTCCCAGGCTAGGGCCTCTGGTCACTGCTCCACGGAGCCCGGCCTGGGGCTTGGGCTGCAAATGCACACACATGCATGCACACATGCACACACATGTGTTACACACACACACACCTCCTCTGCCTCCCCTTCAATGTTACTCGTCTGCACTTTGAAACCTGGCCTCTTTAGGCAAAAATAAAATAAAATTCCCTTTTTTAAAACTGAGGACCATGGTCATTTCAGAGGACTGAACACAGGCCTCTAATTGGTTCAAAGGTAAAAGAGAAGCCGACATTCTCAGATCCCGCTGAGAAAATACAGGCCGAACTATCTGTCAATATTGGGTCCTTCACTTTTTCTGATCAAACCACTACATATTTTATCTTCAAGCTGAACAAGACTGTGACAAGAAGGAATAAACAGAGAAGCGGGTCAGGTTTTCTCCCTAAAAGACTGATTTTTAAGTAGACCAGGGAGCTTGGATTTCTGAGGAAAGAGCAATAAATAATCAGAGTTGCAGGGTGTGGAGATGACACTAGTGCCATTTCTCCTTCAGTCCTCCTCCCTCACAGACGCTGATCCGAGTCCCGAGCATTTCCCTCTGTTCACCCTGATTTTAGGGGGGAGGGGGCTGGGCAGGAGGGAGCCTGCATGATCCCACATGGGGAATTCCAGGTACAGAGAGACCCGGGTGCCTGGGGGGCCCTGGAGCATTTGCTTAAGGGCCCCCTATGCCCCTCGTCCCTCTGACACACGGTCCCTACACTGTAGGCTCAGGAATGCACTGCCAGCCAATCCCGCTGGAGCCCAGAGCCCATACCCTTAGGTTTCAGCAGTTGAATGGCCAAACTCACTCCTGTTGTGACTAGAGACCCAGGGAGACGTGGGAAACACCCTGGGCTGGGCAGGCTCTGGTGTCTGGCCCTCCCTACTCATCAGAGGCTGCTATGGGACCCCCCCCCCCCCCAGGGCAGCTACACAGGGAAGGAGGGCACTGTGGACTCTCCTTCGGGGTGAGACTCAGTGTGGAGAGGGCTGATGGCACTGCTCTGTGTCCCCACCCTGTGCCATGATGGCCTCAGAGGCTCCCCAGGGGCCACCTGGCCATCCCAATCTAGGAAGGCTGCTCGGCAGCCACACTTACTGCTGGCTGTTCGTGGTGAGGACAGAGTGGCATGACCTGGAGAGTGAACATGGCAATGAACCCAGCGCTGTGTAAAGCATGACTGAGCGTGACACTTTTCCTCACCTGGGGCAGGTGTAGCTGGAGGCCCTCGCTGAGGATAGGCTGGCGAGACGGCGTTTGATCCAAGTGCAAATTAAAAATGGCGGCCAGGGCAGACTGTGCGGCCCGGGCCTTGGCCAGCTTTTTGTTCCTTCCCGAGCCTTCGAAGAACTGGCCGTCCACAACCACGGACATGACAAAGTTCTTGGCGTGGCTCTCCCCGCTCTCCGAGAGGAAGTCGTACTTCAGGCCCGGGCGCAGCTCGTTCAGGATCATCACGGGATTCTTCCCGGCGGGCGGGGGGAATGGAGGGAGGACCGGGAGGGGCGGCTGGACGAGGTTGGGGGGCACGGGGGACGCTGACAAGCTGAGGTCCCCGCTGGAACTGAAGGAGTCATCGCCGCCGTTGGAGCCCATGTAGAAGGGCACTTCCGACCTGTCCGGTGTCTCGAAGCCGTTGAAGAGCGCGTCGGGGAAGTCCGCCTGGTCAGACGTGAAGTCCGTGTTGGCGGACAGGCTCCTCCCCATGGCCAGGTGGGCCTCGGACGCGTTGGGGAACTGGACGAACGACCGCAAGGCCTTCTCCGCCGCCTGCAGCTTGGCCTTCTTCTTCGTGGGGCCAGAGCCCTCGAACACCTGCCCGTTCACCTCCACGGAGATGACGAAGAGCGGCGCGTGCACGGGCCCCGTCTGGGACAGCAGCGTGTACTGCAGGCCGGGCTTGATCTCGTTCAGCTGCATCAGCGCGTTCTTGGGCAGGGCGGGCCCCGGCGCCCTCCTCCTCTTCTTCAGGCGGAACTTGGCATGCCCATTGCTGCCCTCGTCCAGGGGCCGCTTCCTGCCGACGCTGCCGCCCCCCCCATTGGGGAGCAGGTAGCTGTCAGCCGGCCCCGGAGCGCTGTCCCCCGGGGGCCCAGGGTCCACACTGCAGCTGTCCTTAGCCTCTGTGCTGCTCGAACCTGCGGTGCCCAGAAAGAGCAACTTACAACGCCTTCGTTGCAGGATCTTGTAAATGCAAAATTTATAGATTCCTTTATCTCTCTTTGTAACTGGGTAAGTGATGTGTGTTCTACTTCACTCCCTGCTGCACACGGGAGGGCTGCACATTTCCCACCAGCTCAGGGCCTCAGTGGAAATGGGTAGTCTGACATTGTGCTGAATAATGGCTCTTACCATTTCTATTTAGTATGGCCAGCTGCGTTTACATTAAAAGGTTAATTTTTAAATAACTTTTATGAGAATATTCTGAGCATCAAAGTGTGGGACGATAAATTTGTCCAGAAGACCCTACATTAGTAAGTCTCAGTCAGCACTGACACCTGTCGTTTATTGTGGCATTTCCCCGTCCCGATGGCATTTAACTCACTGGGCTTTGCACTGCAGCCTCTCCCAGAGGAGGGGACATATTTAAAAGCAGCATTTACAGGCTGGTTTGTTCTCGAGGTTCAAAATATCCCATCAATTTGTGCAGCTATTTGATTTAGTTCATGAATCAATCTTAGGAATCTGCTTATGTAATTATGGCAGTGATGGCGAACCTATGACACACGTGTCAGAGCTGACACGCGAACTCATTTTTTTGGTTGATTTTTCTTTGTTAAATGGCATTTAAATATATAAAATAAATATCAAAAATATAAGTCTTTGTTTTACTATGGTTGCAAATATCAAAAAATTTCTATATGTGACACGGCACCAGAGTTAAGTTAGGGTTTTTCAAAATGCTAACGCGCTGAGCTCAAAAGGTGCGCCATCACTGATGTAGAGTATTCTGCCCATTTAGAAATGATTTTTGAAGGATTCAACTTCATTTCCCATATTCATTTAAAGCTCTTTTTACTACATATGGGGACTGATTTACCTCTGAACTTTTAATACAGTCCACATTAGAAAAAAATATATGAGCAGCTATAAAATTGAAGCTGCAGGCAGGCTACCACCTCCTATCTAAAGCTGGAAATTACAGACTAACTTGGTTATGCTACCTTTTGAAGGTGTTTATAATTAATAAAGATCATTTTAGGACTCTGAAGGTTCATGGCAAAAATATGAGTTTAATTTCAAAAAGAGGAATAAAAGAGTATTTAGTCTTCCCTTTAAGTTTATTGAGCTTTTTAAAAAGGAGAACAAGAAATAATTCTGTTTTCCTGGCACATTTCCACAGGCCGCCTGTCGCACGGAGCGCAGGAGCCGTGATCACAGGGCATGGGGATGTTGATGGCACGGCATTTAAAACCTACCGCTAGCTTTCGAAAGCCCACAATAAATCTTTTAAGTGACCAAAATATTTTTTACAATGTAAACCAATTTACAGGGTCCAGTGTGGTGGCCTGGGTCTATTTTGACAACACAGTGTAAACTCAAGCTCTCATAATGCTAAGCTCTGCCCATGGGAGGGCCTCATGTGACAGAGGCCCGGGCCCCTGGCTGCCAGGCCACAGTGAAGCCTCACATTTCCCGGGCCATCGGCATCGGCAGAGATGTGCTCACACACAGCCCCTGGGGGAGCCGGCTGTCCTGTGGCGGAGGTGAGAGCCAGGTGCCCTTCCTGTGTAGACAGCTTCTCCCAGGCCCTGATACACACACCACTTCTCCCAGTTGACAAAGCTGACGGAATAGACACTAAATTTTCATTTATAACATCCTCCAGCAAAAGCTCGATAGGTTACTCCTTTCGGTGCTCAGAGGGAACAAAAGGTGAAAAGGGCAGAGCGAGACAGGTTAGATGAACAGGCAGCAAGGGCGCCACAGAGGACCGCGGGCGGACGTGCTGGTGCTCCTGCTCAAAGAACTAGCAACAGAGACACTCAGATCGTCATCAGTTATTCCGGCATGCATTTGACCAAACAGGATACCCTCCCACCCCAAAATGCTTCCCTTCAATGATAAAGACAACCCGTACTGGACTGGCCGTCTCGAGAGCATAGGAAAAATACACGTTCTATAGCATAGTTCCCATAAATTCTAAGTTCTTATTTGCTTCAGAAGCACTGAAATGCTACTCACATTCTGTCTTATTAAAATGCTACCATGTAAAGAGAAAATATTAAAACTGGAGAAAGACACCCCCTCTATCACAACTCTCTCTTTACATATCATGCTGCTTGGTTTCCTAAGTGTGACTACTAATCGTGATAATATTTTTTGTTATTTACGAAATGATAGGAAATACAGGACTGGCACAGCTAAGTTTTAGCACTTGCACCAGCAGCTTATCTTTCCAGAAAAGTTATTCAGAAGGATTCTTTACGTGACCCAAGGGTCAGTTATACAAGCTACATGCCTGACATTTCCACCCAAACCAGATGCCCACTGCTGTGGACGACAGCCCGCAGTCCCAACAACTCGGAGGCTGGGGGACACTCGTATGCACACTCTTCACAGGGAACAGTGCGCGGGCAAAACTGGAGATGGCGAGTGGAACTGCACAGTAAAAATACACGGCTGGTTCTAAAGGGACCTCAGGGGAGGCTCCGATGGGAGGTCACCCTGAAGAGGGCCTCCATCAGGCCACCAGAGGCCACCACAGGTCAGCAGGAGGAAGGGCACAAGGCCACGAGCTTCTCCAACAGCGACTGGGCAGCTGCTCATGCTGTGTCCATCCCACAGGGACTGGCTTCAGCCAGAGTGTCCACTGTGATCCATATAACCAAGATCCAGCTCACCCGCATCTTCTCCAACCCAACCCACGGAGCAGCCTGCGAGTGAGGCAGGGCGGTCTGCCGCGGGAACCTCTGGGTTATCTACGGACACGAGCCAACTCCAAGGCCTCAGCTGGCCGCTGTGGGTGGCGTCACAGAGAAGTGGACTGAGCTGTGTCCTGGCCATTGATGACCACTCCTCGTAAAATGTCACCCATCACTTAGACCTGCACGCTCTCTCTTGGGAGCAACTGAACACAGACAAGCAAGAACACTCATGTCTACATGTGTCAGAAAAAGGATGTCTTTGTTGCAGTGCCCCTACTAAAAGCTCCCAAATGGGGAGGGAGACTTAAGCCTTATTTAAATGCACTGCTCTCTGGGAGTAAAGACAAAACAGAAGAGAAGGATGTTCACTGAACTTTTCATGGAGAACAACGTAGAGAGGGGAAGCTGGCATAGCTCCCAGCCTCTCCATCCTCTGCCCCAGAGAAGGCAGGGTGGAAAGGAGGGGGCCCCGGTGTTTCAGGCCACACGAGTCCTGAGGCTCATTAAAGTTTAGAAACAAGACCAGCACATTCGTGTGAGCCCTTTCCCTCAAAATACAGGAGAACCCAGGGTATGTGACCAGAAAAGGTATGCACTATTTTAAATGGCCAGCTATTTAAATCCACCTCAGAGGTTATCTTAGACTTTACAGACGGAAATCTGACCATCGTCATGGTAACCAGGCTGTGGCAACAGGAAGCGTGCAGCTTCATGAGGCATGCACCAGAGCATGCGCTCCTTCAGGCAGCTGGGAGGGGAGGCCCACAGTAAAGAGAGAACGTGGCCCAAATTAAACACCCGCCACTGCTTGCAGCCCCGGAAGTTCACTTCCCCCAAACTGGCCTCCTGAGAAAACGCCCAGGAACTCTACGGCTAATGGAAAACCAGCTGCTGGAGCCCACGTGGCAGCCGAGGTCTTACTCAGGTTTTCTTCGTCTTCCAGATCCATGGCAAAATGCTTTGGAGGGTTTCTTGACTGGCGGAGGCTGTTTCTGTCTGCAAGACAGCAAGAAAGTCACATTCAGTGAGCCCACCACGCGAGTCACAGGAGGTGTCTCCTCTGCGGAAACAACGCCCCCAGGATTACACACAGACGGGAAAGCTCATGAAACAAGGACAGCTCGCTCTGCGATCTGCGATCTGCAGTCAGGATGGGACACTCAGAGGCTCCCGCCACTTCAGCACGGTCAGTGCAGGGCCCCAGGACTCTGCTGCAGGGAGGGAGGCCTGAGGTGGGGAGGGGTCCCACTCGGAGGAGCTGGCCTTGATTCCAGGGTGGAGGCCCTGGCAAGCTCCGAACCAGGGAGAAAGGTGACGGTGTTTCTGTCTTAGAAAGATCGCTCCTGTAGGAGGGGCCGAAGACAGACGACCACAGAACCCAAACAGGACTCAACCCGGTTGCCATTTGATCTTTGCTCTGGAGGACTTCCGGTTCTGGTTATAAAGTAAGGCTACAAAGGAAGAAGCGCCCAACAGCATTTTACTTTACCACTTCTTTTTCTTCGCGAGTCACATCTCACGTGGACGAATCTAAAAAGCACGTAATTGTTAAATCTGATTGAATTTCTTAGCCATCTATTATTTTGTTGGTAGGAGAAACCATGGGAAATCCTTAAAGAACAATTACTACAAATATCTAATAATTAACAAACTTAAGAGTTTCCTCTTCCTAAATAGGTTGGCTATACTTACCAAATTTTACTAACACACCGTCTGTACTAAAGAATCCCATCAAATTGTAACTGAGGAAAAAGATTTGCACATGTTGCTTTATATACAAATAAAATTGATATTATAAATCACTAAAAGGCAAATTCATTGCTTGTAAGACATTATTAACAAACGGTTGTCATAAAAACTATATATATTTTTGGTATTTGATATACGAGAAACATATCTTTATTCAAGAGAGTGTTCCAGATTAATTACTTCTAGATATGGTTTCTGGAAACTTCCTTCTGTGCAAAGCCCAGAATGGGACACGATGAGAACCTGAAGTGAATCAGAGATCCTGCGATGGAGAAATTAAAATAGAAATACCATCTGGATAGCTAACTATATTTAGAAATTCTTATTAATCATTTTAGGTGTGGAAATAGCACTTATTTTTAGCGATACTGAAGTATTTAGAGACGAAATGGTAATATCAGGAATTTATAATTATAAAAGAGCCCAGCGCGGTGGGGAAAAGCAGATGGTTTACAGTTGAAACTGGGGGCCGGGGCGGGCTCCTGGGGAGGTGGATTCATTGTGCAGTTCTGCATTGCATGTGTTTTACAATTTCCACGACGGAAAGTTTTACTTAGGAGTCCTTTCCTCGAGGTCTAGAATGGGAGGTAAGATGTAGCAGGGGTGCAGGCTCACCGCACGCGCTCCGCAAGGCGCGGGTGCTCTGGGGGCTCTGGGCTGTGGGGTCAGGTTGGAAGGTGGGCGTATGGAGGTGAAACTGAGCCGGGAGCAGAGAGTGTCAGGCGCACCACGAAGACAGGAGACAGGTGGCGTGCGGAGAGCACGAGGTTGTGTGAGAGAGGCAATCACAGCTCTCCAAAGAAACCCAAACTCTCCATTCCCGGAACAGCACACACTGACCCCTGGCTTCGAAACAGGTCGCAGGGACGTGCGCCGTGGGAGGATGGAGACGTCCTTTTCCCTCCCCTCCCCTCAGTACAACTCAAAACCCCGACAACACATACACAGGTGGGAGGAGGAGGGCAGACCGTGGGGACTCGAGGGACCACACAGCACGGGTCCCTGGTCTTTCTGTGTCATCATCCCAGACTTGGAGCCGAAGAGGCCAGTGACTTAGAAACACCAATGGGCACAGACCACAAAACCCAACAAATGCTGCTCTCTCTGACAACGGACCAGCAGCGGTTCCTCCCTGCGGGACTGAAAGTGACAGACAGACTGCCCCACTCCAGCCAGACCCTCCCACCCAGCAAGGATGAGGGGGAGCCTCGCCTCCCCTATCCCCAGCAGAGGCCTGGTGGGGAACCTGAGGTGACGTCCCCATCCCCTAACAGAGCGGCATGAGTGAAAGTCAGCTGATGCAATGGTTTACGTAAGATTTAGAGTTGTGTCCAAGTTTCAGTAAAAACTAATAATAATAATAATAATAATAATAATGATCCATCATACCAACAGCCAGGAAGGCCTCAAACCGAACAGAAAAAAGACCATCAACAGACGCCAACCCAGAGACGTCTGTCTGATGCTGTAAAGCAGCCAGCGTAAAGAAGTGGGAGGAAGCAGTCATAACTGATCGCAACACGCACTCGATAGCGTCAGTCCTCAAGGCAGCACGCATGGCATTGCCAGGGAGACACACATGGACCACATGGAACAGACAGAACCAGGGCAGGCCCCACGTGCCCAGCTGACGGCTCATGAAGCAGGAAAGCAGTTCAGTGAGGGGGGGGCCAGGCCACAGACGGTGCTGCAGCCACCAGGCACCCGCGTCTCACACTATCACAAAATGCACTTGAGTTGGTCCGGGGCTCAGGGTGAAACATAAAACTATAAAACCTAAGGAAAATCATAGGAGAAAATCCCCAGGACCTGGGGCTGGGCAGAGCATGCTTAAGCAGACTAGACACCAACAGCACAATCTATAAGATAAATTGGATTTTTTGACAACTTGGACCTAATCAAAATTAAACATTTTTTTTCTCTGCTAAAGACCCTGTAGAGAAGATGAAAAGACAAGCAACAAACTGGGAGAAAATATAACAAAGGCCACACAATGAACAAATGGAACACACAAGAAATTCTCAAAACAAACAATCCAATCAGAAAGTGGGCAGAAGTCATGAAGAGACCTTTCAATGAAGAGGATTTTCGGATAAACATGAGAAAATGTTCAGTATCATTAGCCACCAGGGAAATGCCACTTAAATCCATGTAGAGTGGCCAAAATGAAACCGGTTGCAACCCCAAATGCCGACGAATGTTTATAGCAACTTCTCCAAACTGGAAACAACCAGATGCCCCTCAACAGGCAAATGGTTAAACAGACTGTGGGCATGCCCATGCCAAGAAATACTGTGCAGCAATAAAAAGGACTGATACACGCAGTGACCTGGAGGCATCTCCAGAGAATTAGGCTGAAGGGGAAAAAAGCCAATCCCAGAGTTACTTACTGTGTGGTCCCTTTATATAACACTAGAGGCCCGAAGCACAAAATTCATGCAAGAGTAGGCCTTCCTTCCCCCGGCTACCTTCTGGCCGCACGCAGGCACCCGGGTTTCCCTTGCAGCCCCGGCTTCATCCGGAAGGTCGAACAGAAGGACATCCAGTCTAACTAGCATATTATGCTTTTATTATTATAGATTCTTGAAATGAAATAACTGTGGAGATGGAGAACAGATTAGAGGCTGCCAGGTATTGGGAGGGTGAGGGTTTGGCTACAAAAGCACAGGGAAGTGGTCCCAGGGACAACGGAAGGCTCTGGATCCTGACTGTATCCCAGTCAGCAAACATCCCGGCTGTGACAATGCACGGAGCAAAGGAAACATGGCTCTTTCTGTGAATCTACATGTGAATCTGCATTATCCCCAAATAAATAGTTTAATTAGAGGGCCCAATTAGCATACCATTCATCAGTGAAGGGGGTGCAGAGCAGGCTGGCTTAGCTGGAGGTCGGGGGCGAGGGAGAGCACACTGCCAGGGACACTGACTGAGTCTGAGCCACGGGAGGAGCTGGCCCTAATGGAGCTCACCTGATTTATAGAGCGCCTGTTTCCCTGCTCTTACATATTGAAGTTCTCTAAAAGGACATGGAAATGTCTCACAGTGGAAAATGAGCAGGCTGTGCGCAGAGGCGAGAGGGCCGTGCGTGTGGAGAATGGGAGCCAGAAAGCTCTCACTGAGCAGGAGCAACACTTTCACATTCTACAAATGCCAACTTTTGTATCAAAGGTTATAAAACAAAGCAAAACAGCAAATGCAAGCACTTTAGAGCATTTCACATAACCATTTTTCTTTCATTCTGAAAGCACCTCTTACAGCCTGAACTATAAACATCTAAGAATTAAAAGCCCATCAAAATCCCACATGGGCCTGGCCAGTGTGCTCAGTGGTTGAGCATTGACCTATGAACTAGGAGGTCATGATTCCATTCCCTGTCATGGCACATGCCTGGATTATGGGCTTGATTCCCAGTAGGGGGCATGCAGGAGGCAACCGATCAATGATTCTCTCTCATCATTGATGCTTCCATCTCTCTCTCCTTCTCCCTTCCTCTCTAAAATCAATAAAAGCATATTTTAAAAAATGTATAGATTCAAAAATGTTTAAGACAAACATTAACCTTGATTAAACTTATTACTAATTATTACTGGACTAGAGGCCCAATGCATGAAATTCGTGCAAGAGTAGGCCTTCCTTCTTCCAGCTGTCAGCACCGGCTTCCCTCTGGCACCCGGGACCCGGGCCTCCCTCTGGCCGCAGGCAGACATGCAGGACCTGGGCTTCCCTTGCAGCCCCGGCTTCATCCAGAAGGACAGAAGGATGTCTGGAAGGGCATCTGATCTAATTAGCATATTATGCCTTTATTATTATAGATTTACTTCATTTTAGTCTAAAAAAATGGTTTTGAGAAACATTTTACATATTTTTATGATTGTTAAAGGTTTTATTTTTAAAAGCCAACACTGCACATTTTAAAAAAGAGAAGTGTTAAATGGAGACGATGCCTATTGATTCTTTAGCATAAATCAAGCAACATACTAAAAGTTGTAGCTATAGAAAAAAAAAACCTGAATGATAATGTGATTATTTAACAAAGGTAACTGAAGTATAAAATTTTTACATTTGAAGTAAGATAATCAAATTCAGCATTATCTAAACACAATATCACTAAAGCGTTCAAAGCTATCAACTTATTATATTTTACAATGAAATAGTTTCATTTCTAGGTAACCATCTAAGTAATGGATGCTTAGTTTGGTTACCCCTTAGAGATTTTGTACACAGGGAACAAATATAGCAGACTGTGC